ATACATTTATACACATACTTAATGTTACCATAAAATTATTTGTATATTTTTATAAATATAGCCTAGTCAAATTTCACTGCAATAAATGCATGTGAACCTTTATAGCTTCAACTTTATGGAGAAAACATTCTGGAAAATTGGGTGATTTTGTATGTGTTTTGTATGTTGAACAATATAGTCAAAGGTGGTAATGTAAATTTTTACTTGACTAAAATAGTATATTCAAATAGTTGAGATAACAATTTTAGGGCATACTTTTCTATGCCGATCTTTCCATGATTACACACAGCCTTAAATAACATGAAGATGCCAAGACTAAGATTCCAATTTTTTTGGCATATACTTACATATGGTAATATTTATTGAAATTATAGAACTCATACAACTCAAGTAAGATTAAAAATTATCTTACTCCCAACATTTTCAAAAGACTGAAGGATTATAATCTCAATACAGGAATGATAAAATATTACCTAGTTTGCATTTTGAAAATTTTATTGAAAACCAAAAGTTAATGGAATCAAGAAGTTAATACCTTACAAAGAGTTATATTAGTTAATATTGAAAACAAGACTCTCTGGTTTCTAGCTCATATTGTTAAACTTTATACTTTCTGTGTGTTTTCATTTATTGGGAAATACAGAAATGCCACATTAAAATTGGAGCTAAAATTTTCATAGGTGCATATAAAAATAAAAGTAATATAATAAGAATGATGATAACAACTTTTGGATTTTTAGGGGTTTTAAACTCTTCTCCCCGCAAAAGAAAACTCTAAACACTGAATATCTGATTATATTTTAAGTTACGTTTATTTACTTTATTTACACTACTTTTAATGCCTGATAAAACAGAAAAAAATATGTAACTATTGTGTACTCCCAAGTAGGAATTACTCATTCTACCTTTTCAAAATATTTAAGAAAAAGGATGAGTGAACTAAACAATCCAGAAGGCACACAGTAAGAAAGGGACATTTCTTTCCTACTCAAGATACCAGAATACCTATAAGTAGAGATGTATATATAGTTTATGGAAACTAATGCATATACTAATTAAACAGCTGTCTTAGAATAAAAATCATAGTAAGATAGCTCCAAAATTATAAATGCCAAAATAAATTGTTCACACACTTTGTATTTGTTACTGGAATCATTAATAGGCTAGAGTATGAAATTTTGAAGATCATGATTTTGGGAACTTATATGAATAAGTCCCCGCAGTGAAGATCTTGTACTAGAGCGAAGTGGGAATAAAGGCATACAGTGGATAATGTTGCTATTAAAGATGGATTCTCCTTTCACCTTTTGATTCTGCAATATTGAGTTTATTGTTTACATTATGATATGTTAGTCCTCTATACTTCAATATCATTTTTATATATTTGGATTGGCTCTAGGTATTTACCATATGCTTAATCCCCTGTTATTGAAAAGGCCATGTACATCTATCAAGAGGATTTTATCTTCCTAGCATAAAGACTTTAAAGTCAACCCAAATGTGAACCGTTTGAAATTGATTTGTAAAACACTGAGTAAGAATGTATTCCTTTTCAAAATTTATTTTAGTAGATCTTATTCTGCTGGCTCAATATATTTCCTTCTATGGGAGCATATTAAAATGACTTGTAGTAGTGCTACAAAAAATGTGAAAACACAGATGTTCAAACAAAACTGGGAAGTCGCCCATCAGTGACAAGTCCCCAGACTCCTCCTCTCTTTCCAACAAGGCCTTCGTTGAAAACACCTGTTGAGAAGTCACCCTGAGACTTAGCACTTAATTCTTGATAAATCACGATAAGCAGTTATTCTTAAGAACTAGTAATCTCTTTACTTGACTTTAGATTTCATATTAACACATAAAATAATTCACATGAAAATTGCTCCTATAAAAAGGCCCCTTATAAATTTATGTAACAGTCTATTTGCTTTATGTACTACAAAACCTGTGCTCCTATTCTTCAAAATCAGTTTTATACGTTTAAAAAGAATTAAATATTTAATTATGACTGTGTTTTATTATGATTCACACTATTGTGGTTATTTAGTTGCTAATCTATTGTTTAAACACTTTATACTTTAATTTTTCTGAGGAACTTGAAAAACACCTGAAATCAAATCTCTTCTCACAAGTACCACTGTTTCTGTATCAACTTATATGAATGCTTAGCATCCATACTCAGTAAAAGTACTCCTATGCCCAAGGAGAACCTACAGGCATTAACCTTAACATTTTAGGCCCTTTGACTCACACAAAATGCTTTGATACTTAAATCTTAATTTTAGCTATAATGTGAGCCTCATAAGTCATAAAGTTCCTAAATTTCATATCACCACACTGTACCAGTGTATCTCAACACAATTATGAAATTATATTTATTCCATCAATAGAATACATTATACTTCCAAACAGAACACAAATGCTATAAAATAAAGATGAACCAGACACCTAGCAGCAGTTAGGCCAAGTACACTCTGTGGATTAAAATTCTACCTTCAGAAATACACATGAGATTAATAGTGTGTTTCCTTAGGAAGCTGTATTACATATACACACTAATAAAAGCACCTGAAACAAGATTATGGGATACCTAAATGCTTTAATTTAAGCATGTCACTTTAGCACAGTGTGTTTGTGACACTCCAGTTAAAAAAAAAAAAAAAAAAAAGACAGTTCCTGCAGTTAATTTACTCTGCTCTCCATAATTAATACTGAGATAAACCTGATATATTTGAAAGAGAATTAACATATTAAGAACTTACAAAGCATCCTTTAGAGGATTACAAAAATTGAATAGAAAAAAAAATCGTTTAAACAATGCATGTTGAGGATATTCCTAGGGCAGAAGCAGTAAGGGAAAATGAGCTATTGTGAAAACATTTCAAGGACTTAAAACAAAAACATAGCTTGTTTCTTTATGGCATGAATTAAGAATCTAGAGGAAAGGCAATGTAAAAAAAAAAGTTTTCCCTTTGCATTCTGTGTGTGTGCGCGCACGTGTGTATTTGCTTTGACTTGAGATTTACTGTCAATGAGAGGAATAATTATCTTATTCCTCCTTAAGCAATGACCAACTTCAAGAACAGCATGGTGCAATATACTACAGGTATCACTATCTCTCAAAACCACTGGATATTTCAATCCAAGATTGTTTCTCACTAGTCTAACCAAGGAATCAGGCTTGTTGAAAATTCTGCACCACCTTCGTTTTTACTGGAAACTAAATGAAAATTCAACTCACAGTACTTTAAATGGAAGACTAAGCATTAACCCTCTGTGACATCTTTGTAATTGCCAATGGTAAAATTGTAATTGAAAGGTATTTAACATATGTGTATTTATAAAATGACTGTAGCAAATCTGTAAATACGTGTTTTAACATCTCCTTCTAAATACATATTGACTGTCATAAATACCAGTTTTACACAGTCACAGAAAGACTTTCATAGAAACTACATTTTTTAAGTGGATACTTTCTTTTTCAGTTTTATATAGACCTTAAAAAATTATGATTACTGATGTACAGTAAACACTATTAGAAGTAAGATTAAATACTATAATTGATATTTTAATATTTAATAGTGTCAAGTGTGAGATTGTTTTACAAGGACATTATACGATTATAGAAAAATATATTTTGCTAAGTATTAGTATTTGGTATACCTATTATGTTAGAAAGAATAAGATTATGAAATTTTACTGCTCCATTTTAAGAATAAAAACATTATTAAGTCAAGTGTCATCAAAAGTTATTTGCTTTTCAAAGCATAAAATTATGAACATATTATTTTCACTTGCCCCAAACTAATCTTCCTCTCGAGGTGTCACTTTCAGTTAAGCTCAATTTTGAGTTCCACATACTGCTCATCCAGAGTAATTTGTTGCAACATACAATTACAATAAGCAAGAATTAAATTTTTCTGTGACACAACTCAATAGTGGGTGAAAGAAACAAGACAATGACTAGACATAGTATAGTCACCTGCTGCTGTTAGAATCTATGTCCAGGCTGGGTCAGTCATTTAGTTTTGTGATATTATCAATAACTTTGAATCATACTATCTAATATATATATATATATATATTAAATATCACTTAGATATATCAAATACACACTATGCAAACTAAATGCACCCTGAATTTATTTTGGCACATCAAGTGCCTTCAGTGTAACTTTGCCTCCTTTTTACACTAGCACAAAATGAGCCTCTGGTCCTCTGCGATATTCCTTTCATTCCTCAGTGACTCCAAGAAACAGATCACGAAAACCGCAGGACAAAACAAATACAAACTTTTCATAGATAGTTACTAGTCATTATGTAGAGTCTGCATGTTTTCAAACTTTTCAAAGTGCTTCAGAGTATAACTCACATTTCAAAAGCTTAAGCTGTATTAATGCATTATGCTGTAGTTTTTAGCATAATGGAACGATGAAGAGTAAGTGAGATTTATAGTCTTTAAAGTACCTTTAAAATATAAAACTGACTTTTTAAGGGTTGAAAAGTTAGCTCAAATTGAATGAACTCTGAAATTCTGACTGGTTGTTATTCTGTACTTACAGACGTTAACTTCTTAATATTTGGATATAAGTTTCTTTCATTTTTGGCATCATTTACAAAAACAGCATTAAAATATTTTCAAGATAATTAACTAAAACTTTTTTCCGCTCTGGGAGTTCTTTTTTATGAAAAGAAATATAAACCAACAAATAAAAATAAGTAAAATAATCTATTATTATTGAACATTGCTAACATTTTTAAACCTATAAAAGTAAATTTTAAAATGAAATAGGAGTAAGACATTTACGTTTTGCAGAGTTTAGACTCTTTACATGGGAGGGGTTATGTGTAGAATGTGATATATACACAGTGTCAAAAGTGTAAACCGTTTTCATTTAATTTTTTTTCCCCTCTCACTGCTGCTGGTAGAGTGGCTTGCCCTGTTCCAAAGGTTTCAGGACAGCTCCAAAAAAAAAAAAAAAAAGTTAACTCCCAGTTATGCTAAAAGTCTCCTACCTGAATTATGGACATCCGAGTGGCAGGGGTCTCGCTTGCGTTATTCCCTTGTCCGGTGAAGCTGGTGTGGCAGCCCGCGTGCCCCTGAGGGACAGTCAGGTTGTTGGAGGCCGGTTTGAGATACATCACCTCCGACCGGGGTGAGCTGAGGGGCAGGCGGGTCTGGTAGTCGAAGTACATGGGGGAGGTGGCCAGGGAGGGGCTGCTCACCACGTTCATGACGTTCATGGCGTTCCTCTCCTCCACTTCACTCTGCACCAGCATGATATCGTTTTTGTTGATCTTCTTCTTCTTGCCTTTGCCCCCGCCCAGCTGCGGGTGGCTGTACTCCGCGATGCGGCAGTTGTAAGTGCGGATCTCCTTGTTCTCGCGCTTGCACTTGACGGCAATGGTGATCATGGCCGCTAGGAGGATGATGGAGATAGTGCTCAGAGTCACGATGAGCGGCAGCGACATGTCCCAGTGGTGCTGCTCGCCATTCACCCGTGGCACCCCCTCGGGTAGAGATCCGCTCACCGAGCGGATGATGAGCTTGGCCACTGCAGACAGGGTGGGCTTGCCGTGATCGGTCACCTTCACCACCAGCTCCACCACAGGCGTCACGTCCTCCCAGAAGGGGTGCAGCGTGCGGATCTCGCCGCTGGACGGGTCAATCTCAAACAGGTGGTCGTCGTTGCCGTCCACGATCTCGTAGGTGAGGCGCCCGCTCTCACCGAAGTCGCTGTCTAGGGCGCGCACGGTGCTCACTAGATAGCCCAGGCCAGCGTTGCGCGGCACCTGCAGCTCCGCGGTGTCATTCTGCAGCGTGGGAAGCACGATCACTGGTGCGTTGTCGTTCACGTCTAGCACTGTCACCCTCACCGTGGCGTTGCTCTCCAAGTGCGCGGGTGCCCCGGAGTCCTTAGCAAGCACCTTGAACTCAAAAGCCTTGGTCTGCTCGAAGTTGAAGGAGCGCAGGGCGTAGATGGCCCCGTTTGTGGGATTCACAGACACATAGGTGTAGATAGACACGTCGCCGATGTGCGAGGGCAGGATAGAGTAGGATACGGTGCCATTCTGGCCCAGATCGGGGTCCTGGGCTAGCACAGAGCCCAGGTACTCTCCCGGGATGTTGTTTTCATGCACCTGAAGCACGTAGAGTCCTTTGGTGAACCGAGGCGGGTTGTCGTTCTCGTCTAGAATCTTGACCGCGAACGACTTGGTGGAGTTGAGGGGAGGAGAGCCCCCGTCCCGCGCCACGATGGTCACGTTGTACTCGTCTTGTGTCTCGCGGTCCAGCGGGCGGTCAGTCACCACCGTGTAGAAGTTGTCGTAGTTCTCCTCGAGCTTGAAGGGGACAGAACCCCCGGGCCCGCCCAGGCCCCCGCCGCCGCCCGTTCCTCCTCCGCCCAGGACACGACACTGCAGCTGCCCGTTCTTGCCGGAGTCCCGGTCAGTGACCCGCACCAGGGCGATGACGGTGCCGGGAGGGGCGGCCTCGCTCAGCGCCCCCTGGCGCACGGAGACGAAACCGATGGACGGCGCGTTGTCGTTGCGGTCGATGAGCTTGACCGTGACTTTGCAGTGGGCTGGGATAGGGTTAGGCCCCAGGTCTCGGGCCTGCACGTCAATCTCCAGCATCCCGTTTTCCTCATAGTCCAGGTTGCCCTTCACACGGATTAGGCCGGTCTTGGGGTCGATGGAGAAGAGCTCCCGCACGCGGTCGGGCACGTAGCTGCTGAAAGAGTAGAGCACTTCGCCATTTGGACCCTCATCCGCGTCTGTGGCGTTCAGATCGATGACTACGGTGCCCAGTGGAGCGTTCTCGGGCAGTTCCACCAAGTAGGATGGCGCCTCGAAGACCGGGCTGTTGTCGTTGGAGTCAATCACCTTCACGTTAATCTGTATGGTGGCGGAACGTGGAGGCTCGCCACCGTCCAGAGCAGTCAGCACGAGCGTATGGTGAGTCTGTTGCTCTCGGTCCAGAGCCTTCTGGATGACCAGCTCTGGGAACTTGGTGCCGTCGCCGCGGGACTTAACGTCCAGTCCAAAGAGGCCGTGGTCATCGCGCGTAAGCAGGTAGGTGCGGAGCCCATTTTCGCCGGCGTCAGGGTCATGTGCGCTGGTGAGGGGGAAGCGGGTGCCTGGAGCAGCGTTCTCCGAGATGTCCATTTCGATCTGGTCCGAGGAGAAGGAGGGCGCGTTGTCGTTGATGTCCTGGATCTCTACCTTGATCATGCAGATCTCCTTGTCGTTAGCGAACACCTCGAGGGACAGCTGGCACTTGGCATTGTGGCGGCACAGGGACTCGCGGTCGATGCGCTGCTTGGTGTAGAGGAGCCCGCTGTCTGCGTCCACGTCCAGCAGGTGCGGTGCCGAGTTCTCCAGCACCCGGTAGCTACCCGACTTGCTGCGCCCTCCGCCGCCGCGCTCTGCCGGCGGAAGCCCAGACTGCAGTCGAGCATCCCTGCCGATGTTCCCGATCACCGTGCCGGCCCCTTGCTCCTCCGGCACGGAGTAGTTGAGGTTCTTGAGAGTGAGGGCAGGGGCCCATAGAAGAAAGCAGCAACAGATGGAAAGGTACATCCCAGACCTGTAAGGTGGGGGCAGGAGCAGCCGGACTGGAGGGGCCAGCGAGGCAGTGCGCGCCAGCCTGGGGCCCTGGCGCAGAGTGCGCGCGCGACGCGAGCCACAAGTCTATGGGTCCTTTTTTCCCTCTGCACCCGAGCTGCGGCACCCGGTGGTCTCTCCTTATTCCGCTCAAGTTCCCTGAACCTGTTGATCTACAGCATCCGCACTGGGTGAGAAGCTGCGGTGCAGCAGAGCTGCAGGGGCTTGGAGCAAGGCGGCGGCTTCCTGCGGCTGGGGGCGAGCCAGGGGTTTCGTCTCTCCCGCCTGGACTTCGGGAGGCTCAAACTTGAGCGATGAAGCAGGCGATAAGAAGGAAATCTCGTCTGGGAGAGATGATAATGATCTAAAGAATCAGTAGGTTTTCCTCGCTCCCGCTAGGGTGCTGCAAATCTACTCCCGCCCGGAGCCTCCGGAATACTCTTCACATCGAGTGAGGGTGGGAGCAGGGAGGTGTGTCTCTAGGCAGATCCGAAAGTGAAATTCTTACTTGCTGCTCGCTTCCCTTGATGAAATTGATAGGGATGAAGAGCAACGAAGACAGAGTCACAGATATATTTTGAAGCTTCCCCAGCGCACCGTGGAATGTCTGCTTGCTGCGCGGGCTGGTCTGTTTTCAGGCAGTGTTTTGCTGCATTTAGAGATCTAATCTTGCATTGCTGGCTAAGGCAGCGGCGGCGGCGGACTGCATCTCCCAGCCAAGCGTAATTTTTTTTCCTCTCTCTCCTTTCCGAGCAGCCAAAGGGAGGGGAGGAAATGCAGCGTAAAGAACTAGTGTCCCGATTTGTAGTTTCCTCTCCCCACCAGGCTCCTCCCTCTCTTCCTCGGAAAAGGCTCTCCCCCGAAATCAAGAAAGCCACAGCCTGATCAGCAATTGCTGTGTGTGTCTATTGGGAGGGGGGAAATAGAGAGATAAATCTTCTCCTCTGTTCGTAGAACACACTCTCTGATTTCTCTACGCCAAGCCAGTAGCCTCCGCTACCATCCCATCCTCTCCCCGCGGGCAAAGACTTCTCTCCAAGCAGTTTAATTCCAGTTTGCTTTTCTTCCCAGGCGAAGGGAAATCAACAGGCAACTCATGGTTGGACGTGCAGATTCAAAGGGGGAGGGAGAGGCCGAATAAAAAGGAAAGGGGAGCCTCCCTCCCAGTCCTCGCACACACACTCTCCCTGTCTCTCGCTAGAAGGGAAACAGTCTCTGCATTCACAGGGCTGGGCTGTCAAGTGCCTCTCTTTTCTTTCTATTCAGCATCTCCTTCCAATAGCCCTGCCTCCCAGTCCTCTTCATCTAGAAAAGAAAACCTTGGCGAGGAATAAAAGTGATGAATATTTGAAGCAAATAAAGTACGGGTTTTTTTTCCCCCTTCAATTTTCTCTTATAGTAGGAGGAGTGGGCTGGATGAAAGCAACACATCAAGGTTTGGCGTGATGCATTCTGCAGTCTCGCTCTCAGTCTTTCTGGGCGACTCAGGGAGGGCAGGGGTTGCAGAGCTGCGGCCGCGACGGTCCAGCCAGGGGCGCCTACCCCGGGGAGGTCCCTCTGAGGGGTTGTTAGACACAGGTCTGTCTATACATTATTTCGGGTTCTGGAGGCGCCTTGACATACGGGAATGACACATCCAGAAATGCAGGTGTTCCGATCTGCCGGATGAGTCAGAAGCAGCGGAACGAATCGTATTCACTCTCGACTCACGGTCCTCCCTTCACAGACATTAGTTGCAGCTTCTTCTAACGCTTTTTCTGACTCAGTCTATGGAAAGAAAAACCAGATTCATGTTTTGGGGGAAAAGAAAATGCAAGAGAAAGGGATGGAGGGAGGAAGGTGAAGCTGAATCTAGCAGCACTTTTACTCTACCTCTTTCGGCCGGAGTCCGAGGTTCTGGAAAACAAGGCGTCTGCTTTGCTAGGTGTATTGGTTTATTTATTTTGTTTATTTTTTTTTTAAACCTTTCCTCTTGGTTAGGCGAGAGGCACCCCGAAATTTTTCAGAGTCTTGGAAAAGGAAAAACAAAATCGGGTTTCCAGTAATTGTTCCCAGCTTAGCCTCGCATCATAGTTCAAGATTTTCCTCTCAATTTTCTCTATTCACAAAAGTCCAACATCCGTGTGTCTAGTTAATTATGCAGTCTGTTGTGGAGGGTTTTTTTTTTTTTTTTTAATTCCTCCTTTTCTGTCACGGGTGGTCTCTTTCAGTCTGGTGTCGGGATCACCCCACAGTCTGAGAAAGATGTGCGGATTTCAAAGCAAATAAATCCATCTCCGCAAGCACAGCAGCGGATGAAAGGAAAGGTGAAAATTCAATTCAACAGTTGGAGTAGCGTCTCCCCAGCCGCCCTCCGCTGCTGCCGCATCCGCCAGGTTTGCGATTCCGGCTCTCTCCCCAGCGTCTCTTGCTGACTGACTCTATTCACCTCACGCCGCCGCTTAAACATTGATACTGATTCCCTGCCAGCCAATCCGAGCGAGGAGCAAGGCCCTGCCTTCTCGGCCCGCGTCCAATGGGAGGCGGAGAAGAGGATGGCGGGGGCGGGGCCAGGAGCCCCAGCTCTTAGGAGTCATTGATTAGATCAGTTAGATGGGGAACCAGTCCGGCTGGCTGAGCCCAGCGCTCCGCCAAGGCGGACGCGCCCCAGGATTCGCCGGCGGGTCTCCGGCACCTTTAACTACCGGGAGTAGCTCTTCCACCGCCTTCCTTCGGAAAAGAGAATTTATAAAAAAAAAGTTTAACAGCGATTTAGTTTTTTTGTGGTTCTACAGACACGTGATCGGGAATCTCAGCATGCTTGTAGAATACGGTAGCTGCGGTCTGCCTAGTGGGTTTCTCTACACACACTCTCACACACGCACGCACACACGCCCTCGCCGCACATACGCCCATGCCAAGGGAAGCGCAGCCTTGACTCCGCGTGGACCCATGTGAATGAGGTGCGGAGGCGTGTACGTGGGTGTGTGTGAGCGCGTTTCCACGGGCTGAGATGTGTATTTCTGTGAGTGTGTGTGAATTCGAGGGCGCTCGTGAGCCCGTTTCTGCCCGCACTGGTACGAACATGCCGCGAGCAACAGCAATCAATATGTAACTTCCTTCATCCTCTGAGAAAAATCAGCTGTCCCCAGGCACCTATGCAAGGAAAGTCACTTAATTATGAAAGTGTTTCAGAAGAAAAGCAGACGCCCATTGAAAGAGAACCTATGTCTCTTAAGAGGAATAGAGCCTCTCCTTTAAGGAGAAAGGCTCACTGTCAATACAAGCTTTGTAAACTCAAATCTGGCTGAATACTACTTATGGTTCTACCCTTTTTGGTCATTCTTCCCAACCATCTCAGCCCAGGTTCAAGGTAAAGTGGATACCCACCCCCCTACCCCCGACACACACACACATACACACACACACACTAGTTGTGGTGTTTTGTTCACCTCCATTCTTGTTATTAAAGTGTCACATTGCAATTTGATTGTTTCTCCTTAAGATCAAATAGCCATTGATAACCGCATTTGCCAAAGCTCCATGAAAACAAAAGTATAAAACATGAAGGCCAATCATTAGGATATCTAAGATTCCTGTGTTGTAAGCCATAACACACACATATATACACACATACACCACAACACCACCACATACAATATACACAAACACACATACACATACCGACTTCTGATTCATCTATTTATTCATTTACTAATCTCACAGACGGTTTCTTCCCTAACTATTATCATAAACATCTGCAACTGGAGCCTGGTTTGCTCGTGATCCAGCCGTTCTGAGAAAGAGTTAAGAACAAAAAAGAAAATTGAAGTATTGAAATAGAAAAGGTGAGTGTTTTGATTGCTAGAGTATTGATCGCAATTCATAAATACTGAAGTTAAGTTGCCATTTATAAATTGTGAATGACTAACATACAAGTATGTAACATGAATCATTCAGCCTTCAAAGGAAATCAAATCCAAACCAATTACAAGAAAGTTCTGAAGACTGTTGTTGGGATAATTACTTAAAGATTCAGGTATAGGAGCTATTTATTTCCTGGAGTATTCAATGAGATAACCTGTAGTCTGAATTTGCAGTCTGATCTGTATCCAAAATTCGTCACTCCCTTAAGAGACTCTAACAGTTTAAAATTTCAAAAAGAAGCTATTTACAGCCAGACTTTTAAATACTAAAGTGTCTTTGTATTTTCTGAACAGGTAGTTTGTCACGCATATACTACTGTTGAATGGTAGAGCTAGAGCTTTGCAGAGATCTAGATTGTTTTCCTGAGTGAGTACTTAACCATGCTGCCTTGGGAAATGCCCGTTTTATGTCTCTTTGGGGTTAATACCTCTGTTCCAAGGCACGTATTTTGGAAACTGAAAATCAGAGGCTTTAAGGCTTTAAAAACAGCAGCTAACTTAAATAAAGAATAGTGACTGCACATTCATTTATTAATCATTAATTTTTAAATACAGCAAATCTATGTCTTTTTTGCATTACACACTAATTCAAAGAAAGTAATAAAATATTCTTGAGGTTTGTTTGCCACAAAGCAAAAACAAGAGAATGGGAAAAATTCCAAGGAAAGGGTATTATGATTTATCAATTAGCCTTAATGAGATGTGCTGGCAGGCAACCGAGAGTTGTTAGAAATGCAGTGTCCAAGAGATCCAGTGATATGAAAATACATCCTCATAAATTTGCTTATGACCCCTCCAGAGTAATTATGTCACATCGCCCCCTCGTGTATATAAAAAGAACTACCATGCTTTAGGTGAATACCACAGGGTATCTGACAGAAATGTATCACATATTTATGTTGTATTTAACTTGTATAATTCAATTTTATTGCTGAATACTGACGTATACCCAAAGCATCTGAGTTTTTTCCTTATGTCCCATACCTAGTTTATGGTCAAAGGGCGGGAAATTAACTGATATCTCATTTCCAATGGTTTGGCTTTCCTTTAACCACAATAACCACTCTTAATTTTTAACCATCTCTTAAGACTTGTATTTTTCCCCCAAATAGTTTTTTTTGTTTACAATATAGTTATTGAGGAATGTATTCTTCACTGTGTTTAAAGTATTAAACTTAATTTTAAAAAGAGAGATAGTATAAATACTGCTAAATCGTTCAGAAATGTTTTTTTAACCCCATAGAAGGCTATAGACATAGAACCCCAAACTGAGGAATCTAGAAGATTGTATATTGTGTATAAATAACTAAAGATACCTTCAGTCTCACATTTCTCAAGAAGAGACTGATTGATAGTTGTTATTTATAATTACAAATGATAGTTTTAACCTTAAACAGACATTATATCTTTTAATACACACACATTAAACATCTAAAGATCTGTGAGTTATTCAAGCTATGTATGTGTGCATACTCATTGAGAAAAGTATTTGGAAAGACATATATATATATATATAAAAAACGTGTCTAATTAATAAAATATGCTAATCTAGGTGAGTTTTAAAGGTAAATTGATTGTTATGGTGAAATAGCTTCAAAAAGACAACTATTAAAACATTTTTATAGACTGATAAAAATGATTAGTACTGCTATAGTATTTCAATAATTGAATTAGTAACACTATTATTAAAGAATAATGTTAAAATACAATTTATGGACTTTTATGTAATATAACTTATTTAATTTTGCCTCAGAAAGACTCCTTAAGATATATATTTATTAGTTGTAGTTGTAGTTATGAGAGTTTATGCATGCAGTCATAATAGCATCAGTTTTAACATTCTTCAGCCACTTGTCCTACTTGCTGTGTTCTTGAGTTCAGTAAAATACAGTTCTTAAGAGACATTTTTGATGCTGATGTTTTCAATGCAGTCATTCTTTATATGAATAAAAAGCCATTCTCTCCACAATTATTTTCTCTTTCTGTATCATTTTTACCATCATTTCACTGCCTGGTTTCATATATTTTTATTCATTACTGGAAAATTTTCAAAAGTAAATTTAATAGCTAAACTGTTTTATATATAATATGTATCAAATATTTCCACATCACATTTAAATTATCAAATTAATGATAGAAGCTCCTTCATAGCTAGTTCCCCTAGCTGCTCTTCTCTTGTAGAGATATATGTCGTTCACCTCTAATACACAGCCATCAACCATTTTATAACTTGTTTTGTTTTGTTTTGTTTTTTGAGATGGAGTCTCACTCTGTCACCCAGGCTGGAGCACAGTGGGGAGATCTCAGCTCACTGCAACCTCTGCCTCCCAGGTTGGAGAGATTCTTCTGCCTTAGCCTCCCCAGTAGGCTGGGATTACAGGCACGCGCCACCATGCCTGGCTAATTTTGTATTTTTAGTAGAGATGGGGTTTCTCCATGTTGGTCAGACT